TTCAGATTTTGAACTTGTAAACAAAATTTTACGTTCTCTTAATAAGAGTTGGGATCCGAAAATAATCATAATACAAGAGGCAAAAGATCTTAATAATTTTTCACTTGAAGAACTTTTTGGTTCATTGATGACATAAAATGGCGCATAGTGCACAAAACGAACTTAAGAACAACCTTCCAAAGAACAGGAAGGAATTAGCACTTCGAACAAAAGAAGACCACTCGAGCATAAGCTCAAGTGATAGTGAACTTGAACTCCTCATAAAATTTAAAAAGTTCATGAAACAACGATTAAAGAACAAAAATAAACTTAAAAAGAGTAGAACTACTTGCTATGAACGCAAGAAGAGGAAACCACTTTGGGATGAATCGAGCTCATCCGAAGACGAGGAGAAAATCAACAAAGGCGAGATGGTAAACTACGTCTTAATGACTTTCGACGGTGAGGTAATCAAAATACCATTAATTTATTTTAAAATTACTTGATGCATTTCATATGTTGTTTTTAAATATATAAAATACAAAAAAAGAAATAAATAAAAGGGGATCATGCTTTTCTTTTTCTAGTAATTTTAAAAATAATAAAAATTACATGTGTTATGATAAAGGAACAAAATGTTAGACTTAAATCATGCTAGATGTTTTAATAATATAATGATGATTTGAAATCATGCTTAATGAGTTTATCTTTCGAAATTATACATGATGATTCTTACGATTTATAGATTATCAATTTTTACTATAATAAAAGTTGCTTTTTCAGTTTTAAAAATGATGCATGTTTTGATTTGGCATAAATGAAAAAGGCATGCTTACATGAAATAATGTAAGTATCATGCTTGATGATTTTATATTTAAATTATGCATGATGATTTGAAGTAATGATGATTTTTGGGTAAATTATGGTTTATTGATCTTGATGATTTCAATGATGAGATTTACTCTTTCGAATGTATGCATGATGATTTTATATTTAATTAAGCATGATGATTTGAAGAAATGATGATTTTATGCATCGAACTTATGCATGATAGTTTTTGTGATCTTTTGAAAGTTCTTTTTTGGTGTTAATGAATGATGCATGATTTGACATAAAAGAAAAGAACATACATGTATGAAATCAATCAATAAGTTGAAACAAAAGGAGGAAAGCATTTTTCTTGAAAATTTTCTTTTTCTCTATCTTATCGATTTTTCACTAAGAGACCAATAAAATTATTTATGCTATTTTGAATCTCTTGAAAGAAATTTTGAGATTTTGATGATTTTGATGATTTGAATTTGAATGAGTTTTATCAAAATCATGATATTGGTTTCTTGGAATAACTTGAGATTTTTTGAATCAAGATCTCTTCTTTATACTCCTACGATTTTCTTGGTATTTTACTAAAGAGAAGATTTTTTATATGAATAATAAAATTTCTTATGCATTAATTGAAATATTTTCTCCTACGTTTCCTTTTTGCGATTTACTAAAGAGAATATCTTTTTCAAAATTCATGACTTAAAATATCATTTGAATATCTTTTTCGAAATTCATGACTTAAAATTTCATTTGAATATCTTTTATTATTTGATCTCCTAAGATTTCTCTTTGAATATCTAAGAGGAGATTTATCAAAATAAATCATGTCTTTTGGTATTCACATGATCTCATCTTTCATGATATGATTTTTTTTTTGTCTTTGTATAATTCCTTATATTCTTGAAGTATATCTCATCTCCTAATTCTTCTTGATATTCTTCATGTAATGATATGAATGCATGAAATACTCATGATATTGTTTTGATGCTCTAAAATGATATAAATTTGCTAGCTTATGAGTATCATGTATGATATGATGATTGATTTATTTTTAGTATCATGCATAGAGTAAGAATGATATGTAAAGTTTTAAAATTATGCATATTGTAAATTGAAACTATAATGATACATAAATATATTGAAATAATTATTGAAACATTGATGTAATTATGAATGATGATTTGATATTATGCATGCAATACTTCAACTTATGATAATAATGCGTGCAATGATGAAATATTCATGATGAAAAATTATTTTGACATTCATGACTTGATTTTTCATCTATGTTATTTACCTTTGTTATGGTTTAGAAATTGATGTAAAGGAAAAAAGAGATACAAAATTATATTCTTCCCTTCTTTTTGACAATGACAAAGAGGGAGATAGCTAGCTTGCATACTTCAAGAAGAAGCAAAAAGCTTGCTCATCTAAAAAAGATGTAAAAATCTTGCCAACTTTTATATGTGTAAAATTTGCTAGCTCACAAATTGTAAAGAGAAAAACTTGCTTGCTTGCTAGCACATCTAAAGAGAAGATGCAAACGTACTTCATGTAGCTTGCTTCATGTAAAACATTGTATCTTGCTAGCTTATATCTTGCATTAATTTTTAAAAACTTGCTAGCCTTCATACTTCACATAGAAGTAACACTTGTCAAATTGCTAGCTTGTATAAAAAAAATATATAAAATTTTGCTAGCTTGCACTTTACAAAGGAAACAAAAATGGCACTTCTCAAAAGAGAAGAAAAAGCTTGCTATCTTGAACATCACTATCTTGCCGATCTCAAGAAGCAAAACTTGCAACTTGCACATTGCAATAAAAAGCAAGAATCACTATATGTATGTATATATATATACATATATATATATATATACATATATATATATATACATATATGTATATATACATATGTATATATATATGTATATATACATATATACATATATACATATATATATATATACATATATATATACATATATATATATAT